ATGTGATAATACTTTCTCTTTAATTCTATTAAACAGACATAATTTCTTGTTCAGTTACAAAGTTCCGCTGTTCAAGTCCTATAATTGCTGTGTCGAGAACACCGACTAATTTGTCAATCAAAATTTTTTCGTTTTCAATAACCTCTGTCACTTTTCTTCGCTATCGGAAGCGAATTATAATGACGAGGAACTTGTTTTAAATCATATCAAAGACGGAGTACATCGAGATGAAATACTACATTTGGTAAGGAATTATAAGCCAAATAAAATAAAAACATCTGCGCTGAAGATAAGGGTAGTGCTGACAGATCAACTTCCAATTCATTACGCGCCCGCCGCGGCGTTCCCCCCGCCGAGCAGCGTGAAATTGATAAACAGATTTCAGATTTCAAAACATACTTTCGCTTTAGATCCTTTACATATTACCGTATATATATCGGAAATTCTATTTGATATAATCGAAAGTTTAAGCTTACTTTTATAAAATTGCTCTTACAGTCTGCAAAAAATAATAAGCCGGATCCAATTCGAAAATTAAGGAGCAACGCAATCATCAACATTAACTGAAATAGATAATTAGATAATTTTAGCTTATACGTCGATTATACATAAAACGCGCACGCGAAAACGTATTCTGCACTTGCGCACACTCATATGCGCAGTCATAAAAGGTCTTACGCGCACGCGTAAACGCCTATGCGCATGTGTCAACGCAGCGCATGCACCGAAAGATTTTAGTTTTGAGGTCCGGATTATAGATCATTCCGAATTAACGACTTTTGACTGTATTAGTGATGACACATTAGAAAACTTTTATTAGTGAAAGCAGGCCTACGTTGCAAGTGCTATGAACAAAATTATGAAGTTTCTTTCTTAAAGAAAGCAAAATCTGCCACTGTTTATACTGACTAAAACTGATTAAAGTTTTTTTTTTTTTTTTTGTGTGTGTGTGTGTGTGTGTTTTGTTTTTTTAAACGATGCAAGTAATAAAAATGTTTTTTATGTGTAAGGTATTTTTGTGTTGCTTGCATTTAAGAATTAGTTACTATTTAAAGTTAATTCATTATTAAAAACTATATTTTCCTCATTTAAAAAGTCTTTTTAACATTGTGAAAAATCTCCCGATTTCTTAAAAAAACTCCTGATTTTTGAGTGTCATAGGTTGGCAAGTATGGATAATCTGGGAGTTATTATAATTCAGAAGAGAGTGGTAGGCAGGCTATACATGAATACATACGTCCATACACATGCATACATGAACACATACATGCATATATACATACGAGGCGTGACACCAAAAAAACGAGACTACCGTAATTTCCAGAAGAAAGGCCGCATCAGCGTAAACACAGCACTCAAGAAAAATTTCAAAAAAAAAAAATTTTTAATTACACAGAAACGCCGCAATAGATTAAATTGCGTGTGACATTGTCATGGGCCGTATAGATGCAAAATCTCAACATGCGTCCTGATATATCACATATCAGTTAAGAAGAATGCACGAAATGAAACCATAACTCAAAAATAAATTAAAGGTAAGAAGAAATGTTGAAAATATATTTACGTTCACGAATATACTTATATTTACCCACTAAAGAAGTCCATATTTGTAATACTCGGACTATATTATAAAAAATGTTGCAACAATTAAATATTTAATTTGGATTACAAAAGGAAATTTTAAATTTTACTTACAAAAGGAATTGCAGCCTATACATCATATGAAGCCATCAAAATCTGATTCTTCACTATCTAAATTAAAAAGATTTAGTAAATCCTGATCTAAGTCCATGTCTTCCAGATCGTCACATTCATCCTCTTGGTTTACAGTCTCTTTATCTAAGGATATAATTTCAGCTTCTTTGAACCTTGTTATTATTGACAATGTTTTTACCGATTTCCACGCACTTCCTACCCACTTTGCAACTTCTTCATAAGATGCTTTGGTATACGCTTTTAGTATACGTATGCAATCCTTCACTCACACTCCCACCGCTTTCGGACTTCAGCTTTGAAGGATTTATTACCTGACAAATCTAATGGTTGTAAGATTTTTGTTAAACCAGCAGGAATTATTGCTACGGTCATAGACAATTTTTGACATCTGGTTTTCACTGACTCAAGTAAATGAACAAGCATGGAATCCATTATCAATAACCTTTTTTGGTTAGAAAAAAGATCCCTTACGACACTGCCAAACTTTTTGTAGCCACTCATGCATGATTGTTTCATACATCCAGCCATTCTCGTTTGCACAAATAATTATGTCATTAGGAAAATCTCCCTTCGGAATAGTTTTTCGTTTAAAAATGATCATCGGCTTTAGCTTGTCACCGTTTGCAGCACAAGCTAACACACATGTAAATGATGTTCTTTCATGCCCCATTGAAAGCACAGATACAGTTTTTGCACCAGTTTCATCAACAGTTCTGTTTGCAGGAGAGTCGAAAGCTAATGGCGTTTCATCCATATTTATTATCTGTGACCGAAGAAGTTTTTTTTTGTCAATAATATCTGTCACATATTTTAGAAAAGATGCCTTTTTATCCTGCCAACCCATTGGTAATTGTTGCCCGACTGTTGTTCTAGTACACACAGAAATATTTTTTCTTTTCATAAATCTGCTACACCAGCAAGGTCCTCCTTTGAAATCATTTATGTTCATTTGTTTTGCTATAAATTTTGCTTGTAAGCGAATTTTTACAGTTGAAATTGCCATTCCCTTTCCTCGTTGCTCCTTTATCCAGTTTGCAAGGTCGTCCTCTAGATTCGGCTACCTTACACCACTTCTTTTGGCTCGTTTCTGTTGTGGCATATTTTTAAGTTCTTCTTTTTCAGTTCTCCAACGTCGAATACATCTCTCGTCCACTTCAAACTCTCGAGCTACTGCTCTATTTCCAGTTTGTTCAGCACGTGAAATTACATTAAGCTTAAAACCAGCAGTATAGCTTTTGTGCCATTTAGGTGCCATTTTAAAAAATTTCTGCTCCCTTCTTACTTAAAAACTATCCAACAAATACTTGTACCCAAACTGATGGGATCTTGTATCTGGCCAGAATGCCAAGAAAAATCGATTCATGCTGAAGAGGGAAATACGTCAGAGTTCGTTATTGCGAGGCAGGTGGAGTCGGTGTCCGCCTTTGAAAAAAATTGCAGTAGGTTTACAATGGAAAAGGCAGGGGTGGGGAGAGGATAGGTCCTGGAAGATTCATCAAATAGTCAGAGGAAGAGAGGACTATTCAAACTGATGAGAATGCTGATTTGAAAGGGGGAAGAATGTTATTGTTCTGAGATCCCATTTAGGGTGAATAAGGCATGTAGGTCCGTTCAAGGGAAAGAATGTAAACACAATAAAATAATGTTCGCAAAAAGCAACTGAGTGGTCTTTTGTGTGGGAACGTCACCAGTGTATGTACAATGACAAAGCCATAAAAACTATGTACAATGACAAGGTTATTCAAACTATGCACAGTGACCATCATAGGAAATATTTTATTTTTAGTGCACCTAAATGCTGCACCCACTGAAAACTTAAATTTTAAACACGTAAACGCTGTGGCGTTTCTTCCGGAAATTACGGTAAGTGTGTATAGCTTAAAAACAAAGTGGAGTTCGGCAACATCTGTTTTCGTGACATCATGCCACACACCTCTATCCATGCACCAAGTTTCGACTTAACCAACCACGTCAGTGGAGAGTACTGCATCATTGAGTGAACACGTGCAACTGCATTCTGCCGGGAAAATGTCTAATATAAAAAACGAACAGCAAATCAACATCAAGTTTCTTTTGAAACTTCAGAAATCAGCCATGGAGGAAACATTTTAAATGTTAAGCTAGGCTTATGGAGATGAAAGTTTGCCTCATGCACATGTGTTTGAATGGCATAAGTGGATTTTAGGGGGAAGGGATGGTGTGGAAGATGAACGTGCTGGACGAATGTAGTAGTGTTGATTAATAGTCTGACCAGGGAACCCATTCAATCATGATGAATGTGCTGGGTGCCCAAGAGGGCACCCAACAATGGGTTCCCAGTGGTCAGACTATTAATCAACACTACTACATTGAAGTACTAAAAGACCTCGTGAAAAAATTAGAAAAAAAAAAAAAAAAAGGCCACAGTTGTGGAGTGATGGATGGCTGTTGCACCAGGACAATGCAGCCACTCACATCTGTCAAACAGTTTCTGACCAGGAAGAACATTACTGTGATGGGGCATCCTCCTTATTCACCTGATTTGGCTCCATGCAACTTCTTTTTTATTTCCTAAAGCTAAATCTTACGTAAAGGGAACCTATTTTACCTCAGCTGCAGAGGTTCAGGCAAAAACGGAAAATCTTCTGAAGGGCCTTCCAAAAACCTCGTTCCAGAACTGTTACCAGCAGTGGCAGCACCGAATGCAGAAGTATGTGAATGCTGAAGGGAACTACTTTGAAGGTGATAATGTCATGGAGAACTGATAATGATTTATTAGGACCAGTCTCACTTTTTTTGTGTCGCACCTTGTACATTTCTGAATCTGGTCCTGATAACAGAAGAGTATCATTAATTCTTTGCAGTGATATGTTGATGTAATTAAAAGTGTGCTTTATTTCTCTTTCTTTTTTTATTACATTCTTCAGTCCCATGCTTAAAAATAGCCTTTGAATTAACAATGTCATTGAATTGTCTACTAGACATATTGTAATAAACAACACTGTTTAATCTCCCAATGACCATTTAACAACTCGCATCTCAAGAAAAACTAAAGCATCTAAAAAGGAATCTGACCCAACAACAATGCAATAAAAATGAAATGTTGCCCCATTCGGATTTCAGGTTTTGAAGAGAGGAAAACTCTCAGTTTTACTGAATTGTTAATGTAATAATATCATGTGAATCAGTTTATTCATTTGTAACTTGTGTATGTTTAAATAGGTTTCAACTTCTAATATAATTATTTTGCTAATAATAATTTTTCCACCCAATTTAACATTTCTGCTTATATATATTTGTTTTAGGTGTTAACATCAAAGTTATTTATCCTGCATGTGAAAGTGATTTTTCTGAATTTATTCATCATCCTTTAGTTATGATAAAGGAAACAATACATCTCTACAAGCATGCTAGTGTTCATCATTTTAGGAGCATTGGATCGGAAGAGGTATTTACTAAAGAAACTAACTATATTTATAATATCTTGATAAGGTTTTAATTTTACTTTTTTGTGCAAGACCAGTTTAAAAGTTTTTCATCATTTTCATTGTATTTTGAATTAATTTATACTTATTTTTTACATCACATTTTTCTGTTAATATTATAGGTAAGGGTAGATAACTTTAAAAGGTCATCGAAGCACTATTTATATGATTTTAACATCTATATTTCATATAATCTTTGTAATGATTAATTCCTTCTCATTTTAATAGTAAGAGATTTCATTTATACTATTCATGACTTTAGTTATATAACATTTTCCCTTTAATTTTTCAGTGACCTTTTTATACTTTGGGTAATTTCTTCTGAAGTCTCTCCTTTCTTATAATATTATTTGGAAGTTGCCTATGGGGATACAAATGGGGAGGTAATGAAACTGAAACTTATCTCAGACTGGTATAAGAGTTGAAATTTGAAATCATGTTGGTGAATGAATAGGAGATTTATTTAGAAAACTAGAATAGTTAATAGAGCTGCTGACCAAATATTGTTGGATGACAATCTGTGTTGTCCATAGCACATAAAATATTCTCACTGCATTTAATAGGACATAATACATGATAAAAATTGTTTTTTATTTCAAGACATCAAATGTGCAATACTCGACAGATGATTTCTGTTCATTTTATGCTTTTACGAAACTTCTCCATAGAGTTGTTGTATGTATTAGTAGCAACACGAGTGCCAGGCATACTCTTTATCATTATCACGACAATCCCCCCCCCCAGTTTCGTTAATGGCAACTCAAAAAAATGACATCAAATCATAAAATATTTCAAAGGATCTGTACTGTCAAGGGTCCCCCCTTAATAATGAAATTAGGATATCAATTTAGAAGAGATCAAAATGTGATTCAGCACATGACTAGCTTATAATGCACACATATAAAAATGAAATTACACTAAACATCTTACAAGGACAGTTAAAAAAAAAAAATTAAAGTGTAATGAAAGAAGCAAGTTTCTTTGAGAAGTTTACATGTATGTCTGATCTTGTGACAACTTGTGTCGTAGAGAGTTAGGTAGCACATTTGTTCTGCTGAACTGTCCTTAAGTCTCTGGTTTGGGTTTAGGTGAATCAGAGTTTAAAAGCAAATAGACTGGTTTCACACAATCAATAGACACATATTTAAGGCTGTTTATTTCAATTGTGAAAGTTTAGTCCACTCTGATGAGGACTTTTTGTGGATGGCTGGCAGAGTGATGACTTTACTTAGTCAATACATAACTATACACAGTTGTAAAGTAGAACTTACATAATAATTGTCTTGACAGTATGCAACTGTTGGGTTCAGTTGTTGCATTCCTCCCAGAGATTAATGATGAATTGAGTGTCATATGGAGATAACTTGCATGTCATTACCATATCATTAAGCAGCCTGAGAGTTGTGTCATACACCAGTTCTTCACAAGAGGTCTGCAAATCTCCTTGATGGTTGTCCAAACACAGAGTAGAATAATTGGGAGTATTTCAGTCAAGTTATTAGTCTCATGAGCCTTAAGAGAAGATTTTAAATGTGGATGAAAATGTTCAACAATGCCATTTGATAATGGATGATAGGCTGTTATTGTGATTCTGTGTATACTCAAAATGCATGTAAACTTTCTGAACATTGCAAATCTCGTTTGAGAACCTTGTTCTGTTGTTATGACTGAAGGGCAGCCAAAGTGAGATATCCGCGAGTTGAAAATAGCTCTGCAAATGGTTTTCGTTTTCATATCAGGGATAGGTATGGTTTCAGGCCATCTGGAAAATCTATCTTTAAAGTCAAAAGGTACCTGTTACCTTCTGATGGGGGTTATGAGCCAACAACATCCATGTGGATTTCTGAAAATCGTGTATCAGAAAGAGAAAATATACCTAGTGATGCTTTAGTGTGCCTAGTTATTTGTGATCTTTGACAAGATTCACAGGATTTCACCCAATTTTTGATATGACACTTCATATCAGGCTATACATAACAAGAGCAAATGAGTTTTATAGAGCTGTAATTCTTAGATGTGATACATTATGCAGATGAATAAAGATGAGTCTGAGAGAAATTCGGAAGAAAAGGACGAGGAACACCTGTAGAGATGTCACAAAGAATATTACTCTCAGAGTTTTGGCATAGCTTAAATTCCCATTTCAGAGATGATATATTGTTTTTGAGAAAGTTTTATACCTCCGCATCATGCTGTTGAGTTTCGGAAAATGTTTGAAAATCCAAAAATAGAGATTTTATTAGGGAATCAATTTTGATTCTTGAAAGAGCATCAGCAGTGACTTTTTAGAACCTTGCATATGTCTAATATTAGTAGAATATTGGGAAATAAAATTTAAATGACGTAGTTGCCAAGCTGAATATTTGGGGTTCTGCTTTAAGCATATATTAATGGTTTCTGATCTGTATAAATTTGAAAATTCCTTCCAACATGTGTTGGAAATCTTTAACTGCAGAATAAATTCCCTATATTATACAGACCATTTCTGTTGATTTTTATTGAGTTTCATAGAGAAAGATGCTATGGGTTCCCATCTTTCTTAAGACAACTGCATAAGAATGCTGCTTATTGCGACATCTGAAGCATCTACTCGGATGCTTAACTGGGATTCCGGAATAAGGTATCTCAAACGGGTAATCGGAGCAATGGAATTTTTGGCAACAATAAAGGCTGTTTAGCATTTTTGTTCCAATTTAACTGTGAGGATGAATCCTGAACATGAGAATAAGATGCCTATATATTGATATGGCCCTCTAGCAGTTTTAATAAAGGAAAAAGATTACATGCTGATTTAGGTGTGAAATATCTGTAAAAGTTAAACATGCCTAAAAATTGGCAGAACTGAGTAAGGGTGGCAGGTTAAAGGAAATCTAAAATATATTTGACATGGTCATAGGAAGAGGATGAGTATCATTTTCACTAAGTTGAAAACCTAAGAAATCAATAGATGTTTAACCAAAGGTGTATTTTGAAACTTTTATGCAGAGTCCGTATTTCTGAAGTTTTGAAAATAAGGCTTTCAAATGCCTGCATTGTTCCTCAGAATCTTTATAGGCTAAGTTGTACACAAAAGCATAAATACCTTCTAAATCTCAAGTGACTTCATTTATAAAATGTTGAAAAGACGTGAATGTGTTTGGTAAGTCGAAATGCATACGAGTACATTAGAATAAATTGAATGGGAAATGTATGGCGGATTTATGAATAACATTAGGATTGATAGGTATTTGATGGTTTGCCTTAATAAGGTCAATATGACTAACAATTTTAGTTCTGTGAAAGACAGTAGTAAAATCGCTAAACAAGGAATGGGATATTTATTTTTTATTGTTTGAGTGTTCAATGTGATATAATCGGAAACAAGTCTCCATTCATATTGTACATTTTTTGGAATCATGTGAAGTAGAGTGTGTACTTCTCAAAGGTCTCAAATGCCCCAATTGCATCATAGTTTGAAATTAGACTGAGTTTATGCAATTCTTTGACTTGTTATTTTGGTTTTTGGCAATTTTTGCACCAAAAACCGCCGCTACGCAGGCCAAAATAACAAGTCAAAGAATTGTGAAAACTCGGTATCCATGTACCACCACGTTTCGCCAAGGGGTACCCTAAAATATACTTTTACCAAAATAACTGATTATGGTATATTAATCCCCACTGGAATATAAGGAATTACAACGGAGGTTTTTAACAATTTTGGCAAGATTTTAAATTCTAAACCTAACTGGAACCAACTTTTTACAATCAACAACTTTCTAATTACATTACAGACAAATTTCTGCAGGACAATTTGTCAGAAATATTCTTTCCTGTAAGTATCTGCTCTCTTTCTAGTCAGCTGAAAGAAAAAATACTTTAGCACAAAAACATAACATATCCATTTCCATTTTATCTTTGTATGGGGAACTTTTACTCTAAACATTCTTTCTACAATTTAATTCTCTCCTCTCCTATAGCAAAATGTACTGAGTGTGCTAGTGTAAGTCACTGTGAACGTATTTCAACCCTTCCAGCTTACCAAAACTGTACAAATTAAATAACTTAGACACACTAGACCTCAACACCTTAAGTTTCAAAAGTATTCCTAATGTGCTAAAAAAATAGTTTACTTAGCTTAAGTGTTGGCTCAAGAGCCTAATTTTTAATTTATACATTCATGCTGTTAACTTTTACCTTAACTCTTTTTGTCGTAACTAGCTAGCTTGCAACTTAATATCTCATATACACCAAGAATTCAGCTTTTACAAGTATGCAAAAAATTACTTTTGTGCTTACGTATAGTTAACAGAAAACTTTCACATTTACAAATCTAATTTATCAAACATATGTCATGAAACATATACAATTCATTTGTATTGAAAAATTACTCAGTTTGCACTTAGCATCAGTATGTACAGAAGTTGTTAAAAATTCTTTCACATGTGTGCCAAACTTCTTCAAAACTGTTGAACTAAAATCAGAAATTTTATTATTATACTAGGCTGAAAATCATTGCGATAATTGCATAATTAAATTAAAACCTTCGTGCTATATAACAAAACTGAAATGTCCTGAAAAAATGGAAGTTCAAGCATTCTGTTGAAAGAGATGAATTTAAATCATCCTTAAGCACAGTATAGTGGGAAATAATAAGAGAAGATCAGCATACTTGAAGCTATTCAACTTAGTTAAAACCAGAAACAGTCAATAATGGGAAATAATAAGAGAAGATTAGCATACTTGAACCTATTTCAACTTGGACTCAGTTAAAACCAGAAACCATCAAAAATTGTTTTATCGAAGAAGGGTTTTCAAATCCAGAATCAGGCAGAACTATTGACAACTGTTAACATAAAATTATAATTATAAATGCAGAGATCTCATACCTCCTGGGAGCTGTTATTTATTTCTAGAACTAGATAAACTGTAATGCTAGTTTAATTTATCAAATATGAGCACTACTGAAGAATTGATTGGGTATAGCTTTCTGAAGGAACATGTAAGTAGCGGGGATAAGGAAGAAGTGAAGAATTAACCATACTTCTGTTCAGGATACAATACATATTATTGACTGCTTAGAAATTTCTTTGTCATGATGCTAGCGAGAAAACTATTTTTTGAGAACCTAATTCAATTAATAATGCTTTGCTTAAGGTTTAAAATAAAATGGCATATTGGAGGGAGATAATGTTGATTAAAATCACCTTTGAAATTCAGCAACATAGCTGTAAATGATGCATTTTTTATCTATTGGCTAATTCATAGAAAAAGGTAATGTTCAAGGTAACATATAATTCTTTTTTTTTTTTTTTTTTTTTTTTGTTTTTGTTTGTTTGTGCACTCACATACATACATACATATAAATATTTATAATTTAAGTAAGTTTCTTTTTCTTGCTTAAGCATGCATAAATTATGCTTATTGATCGTAATGTTTGGTAATTCTATTACTTTCTTCCCAGAAAAATAAAGGTAATGTTTCAAGACTTCCACGGAATGAAGATCAAACAATATTTCGTGATTCAGATCCTATTACAGGCTTCATACTTATTAAAGAGGAGCTCAAAAATTGTTCCTGCTCAAGTTTACATATCCGTGCAGTGGCCCAATTGCAGAGTACAGAGTTTTTGTCTATCAGAGATTTAACTGATGAATGCATTCCATGGCTTGTGAAATTACGAGACAAATGTGTGGTATGTTACTTATATTATGTATTAATATTAAATATCATATATAATATATTATGTAATTATATATGATAATTGTTTTCCTTTTGTTCCTTTACTATTATGAAATTATTTGTTTTTATAAGCTGCATGAGAGTATTATTTTATTGTAAAACTAGTGTGGATTAATGACAGATTAAAATACACTGATGAAAAATTAAATCCCAGCACCAAGAAGAAATTAGTTAGGAAGGAAATGTAGGCAAAGCACTTGTCATGTTTATTTAATTAATGTTTAAAGTTCAGTGTTCAAGGTAATATAGTTATTTTATTAATGTTTCAAGGTCAGTTTTCAAGGTAACATATTTATTTGATTAATATTTCAAGGTCACGGGTTACATTAATAATCACTGTAGTTACCATAATGTTGGATGCAGGCATAGAAATTTGCATGCTTTGTGTTGTCCAGGTACCATATGTCATTTTGTGTGATGGAGTTCCATGCCTGTTGCATTTCATCACTCAAATGAGCAAAGTCCGGTGCTGGTTGTGGATAGTGCTGAATTTGTCTTTTGATCATGTTCCATACTTACTGAATGGGAGAAAAGTCAAGAATCTCGCAGGCAAAGGCAACAGGTCATCACTGTGAGGGCATGCTGAGTGATAGCAGCAGTATGGGGATGAGTTTTTTTTTTTGGGGGGGAAATGCCCCTGGAATATTGCTTAAGAATGGCAGCACAACTGCTGCAATCACCAATCTGATGTACAAATTTCAAGGCCTGTGAGATAGTGACAAGAGTGCTTCTACTGTGATAAGAAATTGCTCCCCAGATCATAATTCGTGGTACATATCCAATTTGTCTGCACCATATTGATTCCAAGTGCTCACCTGACCTCCTTCTAACCAACATATGGCCATGGCTTGCACTAAGACAGAAACAGCGCTTATCTGAGAACACAGAAGACCTCCCTTCAGTGAGCTTTAGCTTGATACCACCAAATGTGTAGATGGCAGTGATTTGGTGTTAGTAGTATGGCCTCTATAAAGCATCTGATTCAGAGTTGCCGTTCAAGTAATCGATTTGCTACAGTTCACTGTATCACTCTGGTGCCAGCAAAAGCTTGAATGTCTGCTGCAATGGGCTGCAGATATGTGGTAAATGTGGCATACCTCCTTTTAAATGGTGACATGTGTGCTGCTGGACCTTCTTGAAACACTATCTTCCCATGACGGCTGCTGCCAACATGCATGCACAATAGATGTATTCCTGCTAAGTCTTTCAGCAATATCATGAAAAACAAAAATCCACCTTCTCATAGCCCAAGTACACGGCCTCATTCAAACGGTAAAATTGCTGACACTATCTTCATTTCCTTAAAGGCATTCTTGACTCAAATCTCTCTCACTATGCAATCTGGAAAATAAGTAAAGCATGTTCACGGTTCCATCACGTATTTAAAGTAAATGCGATTTGCTTTCATAGTGGCACTAGTAGCATCACATTAAGTAGTCTAGTATGAAATTTGAGTAGATTTCATCAAGATGTGAAAATGCAGCTCTCAAATTTCATTTATCTAGGATAACTCCTTATTCGTGCTGGAATTTCATTTTCTGTCAATGGATAACCAAAAATAAATTTCTGATCATAAATTTCCTTAACACTTGTAATGGTAAGGTAAAATACTGCTCTTAGAAATAAATGGCATTTTTCTTATGAATCTGTATTATATTATCTTCTGTTGATATTTTGTTGGTTAAAATTGAAAAATGCATATACTGGTTTACAAAATGTTTGGGAAGTAAAATTTTGAAGTTCTGAATATTCTCTGATTATGTTTTTGATGCATGCATCTGAAATTTCTCATTGCTTTCTTTTAAAATTTTCAAAATTTTCATTAATAGAACAAAAATTATTTGAGAAACGAAGAACATACTGTAGACAAGTTATGGATGCAAGCTGTGATTTGATTCATTTATAATCTATAATTTTGTCGAAGTGCAAATGGAATTCAGCTTTTAGCTACAGATTTTTCTATAATATATGAATAAAGGCCTTTTTGTAATGTTTATGACACCTAGGTGCTTAAATCAATGTGGAAGTCTTTCCTGTTAAAACATAAATTTTATAAAAGTGCCTTCTTAAGTATAAATTTTATAATGTAAGTTAGAACAAATATAAATTTTATTGTTTTAAATTTTATTATGCATATTTTTTAAATTAAACATTTGTAATTTTACCTAAAAGAGGCATTGTGAATTTTAATATTTTGAATAAAAGTAATGTGCTTATAATTGTCACTATATTATGTATGATTAAACCCTACCTAGAAATTAAATTGCATTATTTTAATAATCTTGTTATATTTTAATTGTTAAGTCATTTTGATGACCTGAATAATTAAGCAAATATTATTTGTATATTCAGCTATGCTGAATGATACAGTGGTTAGTGGCAGTTGACTACTAAACCAAAGCAAAGAATGTAAGTTGTGGATAGTGCTGAATTTGTCTTTTGATCATGTTCCATACTTACTGAATGGGAGAAAAGTCAAGAATCTCGCAGGCAAACACAACAGGTCATCACTGTGAGGGCATGCTGAGTGATAGCAGCAGTATGGGGATGAGTTTTTTTTGGGGGGGGAAATGCCCCTGGAATATTGCTTAAGAATGGCAGCACAACTTCTGCATTAACATTAGACATTTTTTGTTTATTCAGCCATGCTGAATGATACAGTGATTAGTGACAGTTGACTACCAGCCCGAAGCAAAAAAGATAAGTTAGACATTCCTTTAAATATGACTTATCTCTTCCCTTTTCTTGTGGGAAGAGATATCATGTATAAACATTAATCTATGTTCTTGGTGATGAGATAGCTAAATTACTAATAATTAGTTGTCCCTGATCTGTCACTTTCTGTGGTGTACTGTAATTTCCATTCTGTGATGAGATGGGTAAATGGTAAGAGAGTTGGGACATAATTTTGAGTCAGTCTTTAACTGTCTGATAGTTAAGATTTATAACAAATAATAATAATACAGTAAGGTTCAAAATAATTAAGGATTTTTATGTGGCTAATCTTGTAGTATGAGAGTTTGATTAGTTACAAGCTATGCAGTTGAAGTATTTATATATGTGTATGCTATAAGAGGCATGCACATGTGCATGTGTGTGTAAGAATAACTGATTTATTTTCATATAAACCCATAGCTGGTGCAGCCACACTGAGCAGCAAAATTTTTAGAATTTAGAGAAGCACTGAACAACAAAACAAAGGAAGGGGAAAATCTTTAGAATTTAAGGAAGTGCACTGAAAAGCAAAATTTAGAGGCAGCAAAATTTTTAGAATGTAGGGAGGTGCTTGGTAGCAGAATTTAGAACTTGCAGAGATTGTACCAGACCTCAAAATGTCTAGCCCTGGCCTTGGATGTACCTTAGATATTTGTGGGAATTTATTTATTTGGGATTCAAATACACCTTAAGCATATGTGGGAAATAGACGTAAGTGTAGTAATATGGTGTGTGGGAAATAGACATAACTATAATTCAAGCTTAACTTCCTCAGCATGTGATAGAAGTTAGAGAAAATTTAGTGGAACAACATGTCTTTAATGGCCAATCTCATTATATCGTGTTTAGAGGATGCCAATAGTGTTTAGCAGATGCTAGCTAAGCTTTATGATGATAGCTGAAAGTTTGTTTTGGGGTGTGACAAACAAAATACAAAATTTTACAATTAATGGAATTTAAGAAATGGGGAGAAATAATAATAAATAAAGATGATATAACAAAAGGTTTTTTTTTTTTTTTTTTTTTTTTTTTTTTTTTTTTTTTTTTTTGTGATAACAGAGCCTCAATAATTGATCAACTAAGGGATGAAAATATGTAGTATCTTAAATACAGAAAATATCATTACCAGAAAATATCAAGAAGGTACTGGAGAGGTTGTTGAGAATGAAAAAACTTTGATTGAAAACTGAGTGGGAATTCTTGACACAGCAAATACAGCACTTGAACAATGGAACTTCATAATTGAACAAGAAATTCTGTTTGTCTATAAAATTCAAGAGAAAGTATTAGCATGAAAGATAAAGGGATTTAAACAACTTAAATTGAATGAAATTTTTGTTAAAGCAGACAAATAAATATTTTTCTAAATTTTGATTTTTTTCACGTCATAAAGGATTTATTATTTCATTAACATCAAACAAAAAAAAAAAAATTTGTTTGATATTTTTTGTTTCATAATTTCCATGTCATCTCACTAGATTTAAACTGATGATCTAAATTCCCCAAATCTGGAATTGCCGAAGTCCCGGCAAGTCACATCAGACTTTGCACTCTATTTGTATATTTTATACAATTCTTAATAACAGTGGACTTCAAGTATCAAAATCTCCAATTTTTTTTTTCTTTTTTTTGTGGTAAATAAAATTAATCTTTTTATTAATATATATGTATGGGATTTTAATTTTTTAGCTGATTTAATTAATATAAAATATAACTGGTTACTGTATATAATGTTATAAGAAGTCATTAAATTTGCATGGATATGTATGGCATGTATACTAGTGTACAACATTCAATATGTATAAGCATAAATTAAAAAAAAAAGTGGTTACATACATTATTACCTACTACTGTCTTTCTTTACTCCATGAATGAATGATTAACTACAACGCATTCTTCTTTTCTTAAAAATTTATTAATCAATTAAAAATCAAATATAGCTGGACAGTATGTACTAATTTTCTCTCCAGGTTGGTGATTTTGATCCTTTTTCGGCAAGTACCTAACATTAATTGGTGTTTTTATAGCATTGTACAGTTTCAGATTTTACTCATCAACAAAAATTTTGATATAGTAGTCCTGCATAGAAAAGGTGATACCAGTATGTTACTTCAAAGCTAACAAAATGAGGTTGACAACATCGCTGCAATAAAGAAGCAAGTATTTATCAGTAAGTTATCTCCATATAGTGATACCAGCTAAAGTTCCCATTAGCAGTAGCTGATAATACTTCTTTAT